AGCCCATCCCCGGTAGCTGAGTGGGAAGCTGTGTGCCGGGTGGGAATGGGGTGCCATGGGGGCTCGGGCCGTGTCCTGCTGCTGCATGGGTGCAGTGCTGGCCACGCTTATAGCTGGGGGTGTCTTTGCTTTGCTCTCTTCACCCGTGAAAGCATCCTCCTCTGCCTCACTGCGGTGCTGGACTGTGCTGTGGACGTCTGTCTGTCCTTGCACCAGGAGGCACTGTGAGCCAGGGAATAGCTGGGAGCTAAAAATCCCGGGGAAAGGCGAGCTGGCTGCAGCCCTACACCTCTGCTGAGCCTTTCCCTGCCTGGCCCTGTCTCCACTCCAGGCAGTGGGGCCGTGGGGCTGGGGCCTGCCTGGGCTATGGGGTTTCGCTCGCGGCTGCGCCGCGGACTCTTTCCTTTTCACTGCCTGTATAAACTGTTGTGTTACAGTCTATTTCAACACGGCAGGTTGCTCGGAGCCTCTGGGCATGAAATCCCGCCTGATCTCCGACCAGCAGATCACAGCCTCCAGCGTCTTCAAGACCTGGGGCATCGACGCCTTTACCTGGCACCCCCATTATGCTCGGCTGGACAAGACGGGCAAAACCAACGCCTGGACGGCACTCCACAACGGCCAGGACGAGTGGCTGCAGGTGGGGCTCCCCGCCCTCCCTCTGTAACCTCCTCTCTCCTCCCCAGCTCCTCTGGCTGTGTCCGGGGCCACTTCCTATGCTGGGGTGGCTGGAAGTAGGACGGGCGTGGCAGAGCTGCCAGCTCGGTGTGGCCAGAGCCTTGCTGTGGGGCACGCAGCCCAGGGTGCTCTCCCCAAGCTGGCATCGCAGGGGCATGCAGGATGGGGCTGCAGCCACCTGTTTTGACAGTGAGGCTGGAGCTCTGGGTCAGAAACATCCGTGCCTGTAGGGACAGGGCTGTGCCATCTCTTCAAACCTTGTGGGGTGCACCAGGCCTGCAGAACCACAGTTCTGCCTTTGGGAAGTGCCATCCCATCCTGGGGTGACCATCCCATGGCCCTCCAGCTGCCCAGAACACGGCGTTTCTGTTTTGCACGAAAAAAATCAGGTTTGCTTTTCTCTTCCCAGTCTGGAATGGGAACAAATAGTTTTGAAATTTCCTTCTCAGTTTCCTTTCGTCCCCTGTTTTTATACTTTTCACATGATTTCATGACATAATAGGACAAACCAGTTTAGCTGTTTGTCCTGCTTTTTATTTGGGAAATGATTAAAAGCAGCTGCTTCACAGCCCTAAATAAACCAGCTTATCAGAACGTCTGCTGATGGGGTCGGGGTGACACGCTGAGTTGAGCTGTGGCACCGCAGATTGCTTGTATATAGATTTATACATATACACATATATGTGTATACCTACAGCTAGTACTGCCCTTGACAAGCATAAAATAGGAACTAAATTAAGGAGACTTTCAGCCCATTTGCTGGTTTCCCTGTAGCGTGCCAGCAGCAGTAGTGCAGTGTGGCAGAGTAAAGAGAATAGAAACCATCTCACTTACAACCCAAATGTCAGACCGCACTGAACTGCATATTTTCTCAGCCAGAATCCCTTCCCAGTGGGAATGCATTTCCTCTGGGAATCCTTTATTTTTTTTGAATTGAGATTTTTTGCTGTCATTCCCACGTTGATCTTTTCAGCAGAAGACGCCGAAGGGACAGGGCTGGGGAAGGGAGCTGAGTCCTGGTGGGGTTTGCGTCCTGCTTTAGGTTGCTCTGAAGGATGCTGTCAGTGTTAAAGGTTCGAATATTTCATGGTAGTGTTTTATTTGGTGCTTTGGCTTTGGGGTGGGGGGTCAAGTGGTGTTTTCTCCAGTCTTGAGTACTGAGGGCCAGCGTGTCTTGGTTGCCCCTGGGACATGCAGGATGCTCTGGGGTGGAAGCACCGATTCTGCCAGGAGCCTTGACAAGCCTTGTCTCCATGCCAGATCGACCTCCGGGACCAGAAGAAGGTGACGGGCATCATCACACAAGGAGCCCGTGACTTTGGGCACATCCAATATGTGGCAGCCTACAAGGTGGCCTACAGTGACAATGGCACGTCCTGGACCCTCTACCGGGATGGCCAGACGAACAGCACCAAGGTGTGTGGGGCAGGGCAAGGTGGGCAGTGACCTTCCAGCGCCGGGGATGCCGCTGTGGGGAGGGATGGGGTGGCGTCGGGGAGGTCCTGGTGGTGCTGACACTGACCTTTCCCCCCCTAGATCTTCCACGGTAACAGTGACAACTACTCACACAAGAAGAACGTGTTTGACGTGCCCTTCTACGCCCGCTTCGTCCGCATCCTGCCCGTGGCCTGGCACAACCGCATCACCCTGCGCGTGGAGCTGCTGGGCTGCGACGAGTAGGAGCCTGGGGAGGAAGGACAGGGCTGCTCTTCCCCACCGCCCAGCCCGCACCCTGCCTGCCCCTGCCCGCTCCTGCTCTGACCTCACGCCCCCCCTCTCCATGTCCCCACACTCGGGAGGTGACCGGGAGGGCTCCCTTGCCCCGCATTGGTGCTGGGGCTGCAGCGCTGCACTTTACGGGGCTTACTGCGCAGGGGCTTGGGGCTCAGCAGTTCTGGGGGCCTAGGGCAGGCACCCCAGGCTCACAGCCTCCACGTCCCTCTGCTCTCTGCACAGTTGTAAGCAGGGGCTCTGTAAAGCCTACTCGGCTGTTGTCCCCTGCCCATTTTGCCAGGCCTTGGGTCTCCTCGCCTGCAGTGTCTGCACCGCATAGTGTGAGGAGAGTGATGAGAGGCCTCCTGTCAAGAGGCACCGGGTCCCCACTGCCGGTGGCTCTGCCCACTGGGTGCTCCTGGCAGACACCATGGCTGCTGTTTTGGTAGGTGCTGCCCATTCGCCTTCCTAGGGTGCTGGCTCCAGCATCTTCCAAGTCTCAACATTGCCACCATCCCCACCTTAGCGCAGTTTGTGGTGCCAGGAGGTCCACTGTCCCCAGAACCACAGGGGAGGCCGTGTACTCGTGAGGGAGAGATGGTTTGTAGCCACAGGGGTGCAGAGAATAAACGGGAAGGGTGGTGGTGAAATCACCCAGCTGCAGTAGGCAGAGAGCTGTGCCATGACCCTTTTTGTAACCATTTTTTTTCCCTTTCCATGGGGTGGAGGGTAGCCCCTCGCAATGCCTGAGCCCTGGGGATTAGCAGTAGGAGACAAGTGGGACCCAGCACCGAGAAGGGGAGTGCAGCCAGGGTGTCCGGGCAGCGGTGCTCCCCCCACTGTCTGCCGTGCTGAGCGCCCGCGGCGCCGGGCCCGTGGCAAGTGCTGATGGAGCCTGGCTGGCACGGCGGTGGTGGCCCCGTTCTGAGGTGTCTCTGACAGTATTAAAACCAGCTGAAACTTTGGGGCGGTTGGTTTGGCTGCTTTGTACCTCCCCGAGAGCCGTGTCCCAAAGCCCGGCGAGTCTGGTGAACTCCCCTGGTCCCCTCTGAGCTTCTACATTCCGGGGGTCTGCTAGCTGCTTGCTGACCCTGCACCTCTCCTGCTTTCACAGACCCTGCTGCCCAAAAAACGGGGTACCAGGGCTTGGTGCATCTTCCCCGCCACCTCCACCCTGCCACAGCTGCCGGAGCCTGTGCTCACAGAAGGCTGAGCGCAGGGGGATGGGGCTTGGGGGAGGGAAAGCCGCTATCAACACCCCATGCCCTGCATCTCCTCCTTTGGCTTTGGCTTTGATCCTGGAGCAAATTCCCCAGCTTGGAGCAGGACTGGCTCTTACACCCTAGTGCACTCCCAGAGCCTGAGGGAGCTGTGGGTTTTGTCAGGACTGTCCACAGGGATGCTCCCAACAGAGACCCCTGGGCAGGGTGGAGGGATGGATGCTGCTGGGGCAGGATCCCTCTGCGTTGAGGACAGGTCCCTGATAGGGAAGGAACACTGGGGTAAGCAAGATGGAGAAGCTTTGCTCCTCTCCGGAGTCTTCTGCCACACAGGGTAGGGACCCTTGAGGTTGACACAAATGGCTGAGGGCCACCTGCATCCCACCACAGTTCTCTGTCACTGCAGCTGTGGACAACCTACATGCACCTTCCTACTGCCAGCAGTGCCTTGCTTGGCCATGTGTCCCCTCCCTGGGCCCTGCCCATAGGAGATGGGCTCCTGCCTGGCCCTGTGGGTGCCAGCCCCAGGCACTAGAGGGGCTGGGGGGGCTGCTTGCAGAGACCAGGCTGAATTTGTTGAGGCTGTGGCTGCTTG